TTTCCAGAAACCAGAGTTACCTCAGCAAAAATAAACTGTATCAATGGATGGAAGCATGAACAAAATATGGCACAGCCACACAACGGAATATTCAGCCGTAACAGAAGTACTGGTCCATGCTATGACACGAAGGGACTTCAAAAACACACTGAGTGAAAGAAGCCAGTCACAAAAGGCCCCAGATTGTAGGATTCCATGTGTAGAAATATCCAGAATAGGCAAATCCTCAGAGACAGAACGCAGGTCAGTGGGTGCTGTGGGATGGAGAGGAGTGGGAATGGAGACCAACTATTTCATGGATACTGGGTTTCCTTTTGAGATAATGGAAAAGTTCTGGAACCGAGCAGTGGTGAACATTGTACAACACTGTGAATGTACTCAATGCCACTGATTGTATACTTTATAATGGTTAAAGTGGTAAAGTTTATGTTATGTGTATTTTACCACAGTAATTTAAAAATCAAACTATGGGGCAGCCCGGGTGGCTCAGCAGTTTAGCGCCGGCTTCAGCCCAGGGTGTGATCCTGGAGACCCGAGATTGAGGCCCACGTCGGGCTCCCTGAAAGGAGCCTGCTTCTCCCTCTGCCTGTGTCTTTGCCTCTGTGTGTGTGTATGTGTGTGTCTCATGAATAAATAAATAAAATCTTTAAAACAATAAAAAAATAAAAAAATAAAAATCAAACTATGTCCCTCCCCTGCTTAAAATTCCCATGGCTTCTTGCACTTCACATGAACTCCATTGCTTCCTGTTGGCCTCTGCCCTCCTCTCCGATCTGGTTCTAGCCCATCTCTGCCCCTCCTACCATATTTAGATAACTCTGGCCTCCTTTTGGTTTCTCACCAAGCCAGGCTCTTTCCCACCTCAGGCCCTTTGCATGTACTGTTCCCACTGCTTAGAAGGCATTCACTTCCTTTCATGACTTGCTCTATCTCAGTTTTCAGCGTTAATTTAAATGTCACAGACAGGCCTTCCCCAACCATCCTACCTCATCTCTCTTCCCACCACTGTAATTGTCTGCCATAACCCCCTGGTTGTCTCTTTCATAATACCATCATTGGGTCCTTGTGTGCCTCCCTATAGAAAGTAAGTTCCATGAGTGGAGGTTGACTCTTGTCTGTCTCATTCACCTCTGTGTGCTCAGTGCCTAGCACAGAGTTGGCACTGAGAAGCTATATGCTTAATTTTTTTTAAAGATTTTTTTATTCATGAGAGACACAGAGAGGCAGAGACATAGGCAGAAGAAGAAGACTCCCTGCAGGGAGCCTGAGCGGCACTCCATCCCACGACCCCAGGATCATGACCTGAGCCAAAGGCAGATGCTCAACCAGTGAGCCACCAAGGTGCCCTGCTATTTGCTTAATTAATGAAAGATCACCCAGCTCACAAGGGAAGGGCAGAGGCAGGATTTAAATCCAGGTCTCTTTGATGCCAACTCTTTTTTTTTTTTTTTTTTACAATTTTATTTATTTATTCATGAGATACACAGAGAGAGGCAGAGACACAAGCAGAGGGAGAAGCAGGCTCCCTGCAGGGATCCTGATGCGGGACTCCATCCCAGGACCCCAGGATCATGACCTGAGTGGAAGGCAGATGCTCAACCACTGAGCCCCAGGTGCCCCTTGATGCCAACTCTTATGTTCTTTCTACTCCTCCACATGATTCTGAACTGTATTTGAAGCAGGAGCTTGAATCAAGTATCAGAGAATGGGGTCAGAGTTAGCCATGACCTTTTAATGTAGCTCTATTATCACGTAGAGGAACGTGAGCCTCATGTGGTCACTGCTGTAGATGGATTGTATCTGCTGGCAAACCAGCCTCTGGACCCAGATGGCACATGTAACTCTGGAAATCCAAACAGAGCCCCAACTGAGATCTCATGGACTTCTTTCCTCCTTTCTGTTTCCTCATATTCTCCTAGAGCCAGACTGGGGCTTTGCCCTAGGAAGGGAAGTAGTTAACTGCAGCAGCTGAAAACACTGGCCTGGAGGAACCAAAACCAGCACTGGGTAAAGCCAGAATGGGCCCATCCCCTGGCCTCTCCCAGGGCACAAGCGGGCCCAGACTCAGGTGGCCATGCTCTGACCTTCTCCAGAAGGCTCCACAAACATCTCCAAAACGCAGACAGGTCCTGGGACTGGCTCGTACTTGAGCAAGCTAGGCTTACCGCTTGGTAAGAAATGTGAAGGGGGGTGGGCAGAGACTCACTTGTGCAAGAGAACGGTGCTGGTATTGCTCAAACCAGACAAGTCCTTCCTCTACAGCAGGAGTTCCTAATCCTTTCTTCACAACATGGGTCCTCTTCTCTGGGGCAATGTCTTAAAGTGCATAAAGAGAATGCCTTGCATTACACAAGGCCCATTATCTTGAAATGCAGTTATTGAATTATTTTTTAAATTGTGGATAATATAGGAAGTTCTTTGTTGACATATTAAAACTATAAGAACTGGGGCGCCTGGGTAGCTCAGTGGTTGAGTGTCTGCCTTTGCCTCAGGTGGTGATCCCAGGGTCCTGGGATCTAGTCTGACATCAGGCTCCCCACAGGGAGCATGCTTCTCCCTCTGCCTATGTCTCTGCCTCTCTGTATCACTCATGAATGAATAAATAAATAAAATCTTAAAAAAAAAACTATGAGAACTAACATCTGGGTTAGTAATTTTGAAGCAGTGGTGAGTGTAAGTTATATTTTGATATATCTGCTATAACTATCTTGGGATTTGAAGGTATCTGTGATCTCGATTGATGACCAAGCCTTGGGTACTGCTAATGCAGGTGTGGGCTGTTACCTGCATTCATCAGGGAAGGAAATGCTCAATTTCAGGTAATGAAAATAGAGGAATTTTACCCACTAAATGATCAGCCTCTTAGACTTTCTGGACCACAGAAGAATGTCCCCGAGCCTTGCCTCCCCAACTCAAATGGGAGCTGAGGACAGAGCTGCTCTTATATTGAGTGTCTGGGAAGGGCTGCCTACCACATGGTGGGCATCCAGCACTACTCTGTTGAGTCTCTTGGATCTTCTAAGGAGATAATCATACAGATTGCAGACAAGAGATTTTCTCTTTTCAATCTTTGTCCTCACTTCCTTTCTGGTCTCACTGCATTAGCTGGGGTCTTCCATACAATGTTGAACAGAAGCCATGACGGTGGGCATCCTTATCTTGTTATGCTCAATATTCACTTAGCAATTTATGCAGTAGAACTGTAAAGCACCTACTATGTGCCAGACTCTGAGCCAAGGATAAAGATGGGACAAAATTGAGCTCTTTTCCTGTCCAACTGAGAAGACTGAGCACTAGAAGCATTCTGTGGACAGAAATATTGAAAACATCACTAAAGTCTCCCTACTTGTTATGCTGCTCTCAGGATCCTGATTCCTAAGAAGTATAGAAATAGGAACACCTGGGTGGCTCAGTGGTTGAGTGTCTGCCTTTGGTTCACGGCATGATCTTGGGGTTCCAGGATCGAGTCCCACATTGGGCTCCCTGCAAGGAGACTGCCTCTCCCTCTGCCTGTGTCTCTGCCTCTCTCTCTGTGTGTATCTCTCATGAATAAAAAAATCTTAAAAAAAAAAAAAGAAGTATGGAAATAGGTCCCTGCTGGTGGGGGTCCCAGTCTCCAGGGCATTGGGTAAGTGGGCACTGGCAGTGGCAGCCTTCCCCAGGACCATGGCAGTGCAGGACAAGGAGGCAGCACATGGGAAGGATGATGAGAGGTGCCTCCAGAAGGTGTCAACCCCCTCTCAAATAAATAAATATTTTTTTAAAAAATGGACCAGATTGTGGTTCAGGGACTGAAATAGGAATGTTGCAATAACAAAATGTGACTGAGAAGTCAGACCAGACTGAGATCTTTTTTTCTTCTTTTTAAAGAGAGAATGTAGGGGATTGTGGGGGGAGAGACCACGGGCAAAGGGAGTGGGGGAGAGAGAATACTCAAGCAGACTCCCTGGAACATGGAGCTGGCTGGATCCCAGGACCCTGAGATCATGACCTGAGCTAAAATCAAGAGTCCAATGCATAACCAACTGAGCCATTCAGGTGCCCCCAGACTGAGATGTTTTTAAGAAAGCCTACTGCCCTGCAGGAGTGGGGGAGGGGGCAGGATGGGGAAAAGCAGACTCAACAGAAGCCAGTAGAAACAATACCACTGTGGTAGGCAGACTACAGGCCCCTCAGAGATGTCCCCATCCGAACCCCAGGACCTGTGAACATGCTGTTATACTTGGGGAAAGGACTTTGTAGGTGTGATTAAGAACGTTGAGAGGGGAAGAGGAGACTGGTTATCGGGTGGGCCCAGTGTTATCACAAGGGATTCCAGGAGCAGGGAGAAGAGTCAGACCTAGAGGGCAGGAGAGCTGATGAAAGCAGAGGTCAGAGTGAAGCCACCAGCAGTCGAGGAATGCAGCTCAAAGAGACAAGGAACCGGATTCCCCCCCTAGAGCCTCCAGAAGGAATACGGCCCTGCCAACACCTTGACTTTAGCCTTATTAAGGCCACTTGGACTCTTGACCTCCAGAGCTGTAAGATAACAAATTTGTGTTGTTTTTTAAGCCCCTGAGATCGTGATAACACGTTCCAGCAGGAACAGGAAACTAATACCGCCCAAGGACAGAGACTCCCCCCACCCCCAATTACGCCAGGAGTGGGCAGGTGTGTAGGCGGGAGCCTCCATCCTGAGGTTTGGGAAGAACTTCTTTTTAGGAAAACTGATTCCAGGGCAGTGCCCGAGACAAGTGTGGGCAGAGTGCTGGGGAAGCCCTGGGAGGACAGGGACCCCAGGACGCTGGGCCTGGAAGGCGGGGGGAGTAAGCCTGAGCGAGGGGCTCGGCCTCCAGGCGGGAAGGCCCCTTCCTCCAGCGCGGAGGCGCCCTCCGCAGCCCCAGCCCCGCCGCCCGCGCCGGCCCCGCAGCCTCCAGGCTGGCCTTAGGGCCTCCCGCCCACGCTCCGCCCCCGCGCGGCACACACCGCGGGCCCGAGCCGAGCCCCGGGGCCGCCCTCCGCGGGACGGGAGCGCCGCCAGAAGCCAGCTCGGCTCGCGGAGCGTGTGCGCCGGGGAGGGGCGTGGGTCGGCCCCCCCCGCGGGAGGCAGGAAGTGCTCCCTCCTCCACCCCTTCCCGCAGGCCAGCCCGGGACGGAGTCTCGTGATCCGCGGGGGCTCCCCCGGCGGGGCCTCGGTCCTTGTGCGGGAGCGCGGGCCTGCGGGCGGGGGCGGGGCCGAGGGGAGGCGACTGGCGAGGGCCCGGGGCCCCAGGGGCCGGCAGGAGTCGCGGACGGCGGCGCGAGCGGGTTAGAGGGCGGGGAGGGGGGCAGCGGGGGAGGGAGGGGCGGGGGCGGGCGCGGGGGCGGGCGCCGGGCTCCAGGCTCCAGTCCCGCGGTGGGCGCCGGCCGGAGGGCGCAGGGTGAGTGCTCCGGGCGGCGCGCAGCCCCCGCTCCAAGCCCTCGCAGCCAGAGCCCCCCGGGCAGCGGACCCCCGGCCCCGGCTCGGGGCCCCCGCCCCCGGTTGCCCTCTGCTGCAGCGTGGAACAGCGCCTTCCAGCGCGGGCGGACCGGGATTCCCCCAGGGACTCCCTGCCTGGCCCAGAGTCGGGTGGGGGGGCAGGGCCGCAGACACACAGCTGCCCCGGGACTGGGGGAGGCCCCTTTTGGCCCCAGTTACCTCCCCTCGAAAACGGGAGCACGGACAGGAACTACCCTCTTGTATGGCGAGCCTAACTGGGAGACAGGTGCCTTCCTTCGTCACCTGCTGAGCGCAGCAACAGGTAAGGTGAGTACCATCCTTGTCTCCCTCTTACAGGTGAAGACACCGAAACTCGGGCCAAGCTACTTGCCTCGGGTCCCCCGCCAAAGGAGGCAGAGACAGAACTTACACCCAGGTCTGTGTGAACCTCTAAATCCTTTTACTCATCACCTCTGCCTCCCTAGAGAGACTGCAGGGAGAGAAGTGAGGATAAAGGTAGTACTGGGTGTTCCAGGAGGCTGAGCTGAGCAAACCTCCAGGGCAGCAAATCCTTCACCTGCAAATACTTTTATGGTTTTTTTTTTTTTTTTTGAAGATTTTGCAGGCAGAGGGAGAGGGAGAAGCTGTGGAGCTGGATACAGCTCCATCCTAGGACTCCGGGAAGGCAGAGGCTTAACAGACTGAGCCACCCAGGCCCCCTGGAAATACTTTTAAACACCTCTTGGGGCAAGATGTGCTGAGGAATGAGAATGGTGGGTTGCAAGTTAAACTCCAGAACACAGAGGTGCAGCCCCCCTCCCCAGGAACTTACGGACCTCTATGTAGGACCTCTGCTGGGTGCCGGGGCTCTTGGAGGCTTTGCCTTGGGACTTCACCTCTCCATACCTCGGTTTCCTTGACTGTCTCATGGGGTTAAGCATGCTACTTACCCACAGGATTGCTGAGATTAAGTGAGATGCTTGGTATAAAGTCTTAGCCCAGCAACTAGCCCGAGGTTACTATGGAGCTGTTCCCCTCTGAAAACACTCTGGTTCCAGACGCTTAACCTCAGGTCAGGCAGGGCTATCTGAGATCTGCAGTATTTCCGGACAGCTTCACCAGCAGCTGGAAGCTTCTTGAGTAAGACCAAGGCTCGTGGCAGCAACTTCTCACACTCCTGAGTCCCTGGTGGAAAGACTAGCAGGAGCAGCATTTTGAAAATGGTTGGGTTGAGGCTTGCATAATTCCAGAACTACTCTGAAGTCCCTAAGCCCTTCCGGATCCCTGGTTTAGCAAGAAGGAGGAAGCCCAGAGTCTTATTGCCCCCAAATCTGCTCCTCATCTCATCCCCCACATCTAAGCCAGCAGCAGGTTCTACTCCTCAGCATATCCTGAGTCTGGCCATTTCTCTGCATCATCATCTTTTGCCTCCACTTGGCCTCCCAGCAACCACCCTTGACCCCCCCCCCCCCCAGGTCTTCAGCATTGTCTACCAAGCCCTCTGTGAGATCAGACGCTTGTGTCTTGCTACCATCCTCCCACTGCAGCCACCCTGACCTCCTGTTTCTTCCTTGGACTTGCTAAGGGCCTCCCCCCCCCCACCTTCTTAGGGCCTGTGCACGTGGTCTTCCTTCTGTAGGAAACGCTCTCCCCGGTCATCTTCTTGTGACTTACCTCTTTGCAATTCAGGGACCGCTCTACAAGTTGCCAGATCAAGTCTTCCCTGACCATGACCCTGGCAGGAGCCACACTTGCTTGCTCTCTTACTGCGTTCTTGTTTCTCTTTCTTCCCATGCTTAGCCATGAGTGATGCCAACTTGCTTATGTGTTTCCCTGGTTCCTTGTTTGTTCACTTGTTTGACACCAGGGCCCTGACTTTTTTCTTTTTCACTTCAACCATCAGGGTTCAACTTGTCATTGCTTAACAGCATTCTTTCTGTTTCTACACAGACCTCAGAATTGTCATTCCTTCTAACAGCCCCTTGCCTTCCTCAGCTTTTCTCTAAAGCGGGGCTTGTGGGGTCTTTCCAGGTTCTAGCCATCATATCCAAATTAGCTGGTCCACAATGCACGTGGTTTGGGTTTTTTGTTTTGTTTTTTTGCTACCAAATGATTTTGTTTGAGATAATGTTTTCCAAACTGATGTATTCAAGTCAAGAGTATGATTATTTTGAAGGCACTTGCCATTTATCACCAGAAGGTCACTGAGGAAAAACCATGCCTGGCAATATAGTGCAAGTTTTCCTGCAGCCCCACAAGCACTGAGTTTTATCGCTTTTGTTTTCTCTAGTGTAATGGGAAGGTCATGTATGTATGTTTAACTTTTCTGTTGCTTGAATGAGTGAAGCTAGGTGTTTTTCTATATATGTGCCAATTCTATTTCCTGTCTTGTGAAGGAAGGAAATCTCCAAGGCACCTTAATTACTCCCTTCACCTTTGCTTATACTAAATGTTCCGCTTGAGCCTGTCTCATGAGAGCAGGGCAAGGGCCCCCGGGGGCTAGAACAGGAACACACTGAGGCCGAATTCGGCTGGTTGCAGAAGCTGTTCTGCAAATCAACCAGCAAGAAACTCTTGAGAGTCCCTTGTGCCCGCAGCATGATACTAAGGAGAGAAAGAACTTAGTTTTCCTTAGTCTTTGTGAATAATTTTTTCTTAAATTATAAAAGCACATGGGATGCCTGATTCTTCATTGGAACATTGGGGAAGCAAAAGATTGGGAAATAATCTAAATTCTGATCACTTGTGGGACTACACACATTCCTACAGGGAAATCTTACGGAGTCGTCCCAAGGAGTGTACTTGATCTAGCACACACTGATCTAGAACAATCAAACGTACTGTATTCATCTCCTATGGCTGCTATAACAAATGACCACAAATTTTGGATGGCTTAAAACAACATGGATTTTTTACTTTAAAGTGCTGTTGATCAGATGTCCAAAAGCAAGGTGTTGGCAGGGCTGCCTTCCCTTTGGAGGCTCTAGGGGAGAACCTGTTTCCTTTCCAACTTTTAGAGGCTGTTCACATTCCTTGGATTGTAATCCTTTCCCTCCTCGTCAAAGCCAGTAGAATAACACCTTCAAATCTCTGACTCCCAACTTTGCTTCTGTACTCACATATCCTTCTGTATCTGATTCTCCTGCTGTACTTATAAAGACCTTCACAATTACATTGGACCCACCCAGCTAATCCCCACCTTGGGAGCCTTGATAGAATCACATCTGCAAAGTCCCTTTTGCCATATAAAGTGACATACCGATAGGTTCTGGGGGTTAGGACAGGTGTGCCTTTGGGGGTCATTATCGAGCCTGTCACACCCCAAAGGGAAGTAAGCAAGGTTCAGAGCAGTGTGTGTAGTCTCACATTTGTTTAGGTTCAAAAAGAGAAAAAGAATAAATATGGATCCACTTGTAAAGACAGAATACCTATGAAGGCCACATAGGAAACTGGTTCAGAGTGGCTGCTTCTGGGAAGAATGGGTAGAAAGGAGGCTAACTGGTCATAGTGTATCTTTTTTGAATTATTTCAGCTTTTTAGTACATGCATGTATCACCTACATTAAAAATAAATTTTAAGGGGCATCTGTGGCTCAGTTGGTTAAGCATCTGCCTTTGGCTCAGGTCATGATCTCAGCAGGGAGTCTGTTTCTTCCTCCTCGTCTGCCCCCTCCCAGCTCATGTAAGCTCTCTTTGCTTTCTCTTTCAAATAAATAAATAAATAAATAAATAAATAAATAAATAATCTTTAAAAAAATTTTTTAAGAAGTAACACATACTCATTGTAAAAGTTTAGACCTTTCAGAATTGAAGGAAAATACCTACAAAAATCAGTCTAAATCACTCTTTTTGTCCAGCAATAATCACTGTAAAAGAGTTCGTCTATATCTTACAGACTTATTTTTTAAAAAGCATTTGTAATTTTTCATGTAGATGGGGTCATACTGTATTCATTATACTGTAATGTGAATTTTTTTGTTTTGCTATATTGTTTACCTCTTTCCTCTTCCCCATGTGCTTTAACAACACTAGGGTTTCTCACTCTTCAGATATACCTTAACTGACTTAACCAGACCCTCAGTGGTGGACATCTAGATATTTTGCTGCTTTCCAGAGCATTCTCAACAGTGTAATGTACGTGTGTGTATCTTTTTTTTTTTAAGTTTAAACTGGAGTGAAATTCACATAACATTTTACAATTCAGTGAACATTTAGTGAACAATTCAATGACATTTAGCACATTCCCAATGTCACACAACCACCACCTCTATCTATCTAGTTTCAGGACATTTTCATCAAACCAAAAGGAAGCCCTGCACCCATAGAGCAGGCACTCCCACCCTCCCCACCCCATCCCTGGCAACCACCAGTTGCTTTCTATCTCTGTGGATTGGCATATCCTGGGTATTACTTATCAGTGGAATCATGTAATATGTGAAGCTTTGTGTCTGGCCTCTTTGATTTAGTATAATGTTCTAGAAGGGTTCATGTATGTTGTAGCATGGATCAATACTTCATTTCTTTTTATGGTTGCATAACATTCCGTTGTATGGATATACATCTTTTATTATATCCATTCATCCTCTAATGGATACGTGGGTTATTTCCACCTTTTAGCTATGAGTATGTACTTAAATGTATTTGAGTGCCTGTTTGCAATTCTTTTGGTTATATACGAAGGATGTGCAGCCTTCCACATAGGCTTTGAACTTTATGCTATTTTTAGACACTGTTAACAGTTACCAAGTTAAAAATAATTTGTAACAAAGTGTTGCAGAGCACATACTAAGATAAATGATTGCAGGATGTCAGATCTAGAAAAATGATCCCTGGGTGGCGCAGCGGTTTGGCGCCTGCCTTTGGCCCAGGGTGCGATCCTGGAGACCCGGGATCGAATCCCACATCTGGCTCCCGGTGCATGGAGCCTGCTTCTCCCTCTGCCTGTGTCTCTGCCTCTCTCTCTCTCTCTCTCTCTCTCTCTCTCTCTCTCTCTCTCTGTGACTATCATAAATAAATAAAAATAAAAAAAAAACAAAAAGCTTTAAAAAAATAAAATAAATAAAAAAAATAAAAAAATGTTTTCTTATTTTCCAGATCCAGAGAAGACAGGAAAATGGCCACCTGGGATGAAAAGGTAAATTAATTTTGGTGGACGAGCCATGTTAAAGGACCTCCCCAGGCCTGAAGACAAATCTGTTGGGTGTCTCAAACAGGATAAAGGGAAAACACGTGTTTGGGATGTTCCTGCCATACCAAAGTGTCTATAAAACAAAGGTGAAAACTATAACAGGAATTCATAAACCTCAAGATAGTCTAAAAATCTGAATCAGAGCCTTCAAATCCCACCTCTGCATTTTAATAACCATGTGTCATTTAGGCCAGGACCCTCACTTCTCTGAGACCTCTGTTTCCTTATCTAGGGAACGGAGAGAAAATTATCCTTGTTCCTGAAGGCTTGTCGGGAAGAGGTGAGGAGACAGTGGTCTCAAAATGCTAGGCCGATATTGAGCCCATAAGTGCTTTTTCCCTACTGCCCATTTTACAGATAAAGACAGTTGAGCACAGAGAGGTAAAGCCACTTGCTCAAGATCACACAGGTAGGAAGTGGCAGAAATAGGATTTCACCATGGTCTGACTCCAGAGCAAATGCTTTGCCTCCTGTATCATGTGACCATCCCAAGCCGAACTATTAAACCCTGTCCTTGATATCTGGGGTGCAGGTATGTTGGGTTTAGGGGGACAGCAGTTGTGAAAAGTGAGGATGAGGTAGAAAGGAAGTGTTCGCTTTCATTTCAGCTGTTTCCTAGGAGGGTGCAGGGGTCGAGCCACGTAGAGCTGTCAGGATGGTGCTGGAAGCTCCAGGTAGAAGCAGGGTAATCAGAGCAGGATCCAAGAAGCAGGGTCATGGGATGATAATGATGACTCCTTTAATTCCAAGAGTCATTTGGATTTTAGAGCTGTTTACAGTGTGGCAGGGGGAAATGGCCCAGGGTAGATGCTACCAATTCTGATTTTAGAAATGTTGAAATCTGGGGAAAATGTTCATCTTTAAATTAATGAAATACAGTGGCAGAAGTAGTAGCAATAATAACCTGAACAACATCTATCGAACACTCCGTGCCAGGCATTTGCTAAGGGCTTTCCATGTCTTTGTTTTTTTAATCCTTACAACAGCCCTATGCATTAAAGCATTATTATTTCTTTCTCCCATCTTACAGATAGGGTAATTGATGCACAGCAAAGTTTAGCAATTTGCCCAAGGTCACACAGCCAGCAGGAGGTTCAAACCCATACTGCCTGGCTTCCAGGCCCTAATTAGTGACTAGCGATTGCGCCCTTTTTCAAACACAGTCAATCCCAAAGATAGATGAGGTCTCCAGAGGGAAGAGAGCAGGGAGTGAGATCACAGGGGCAATCCTCCCCAGCAATCCTCTAGGGCAGATTCTTTCCCTCCGTCATTAATTCATCTAACAAGTGTTTATGGACACCAGCTGTGTCCTGGCACCCTCCATAGCTATCAGGCTGTAGCAGCAGCAAAGCAGCAGACTGGTCCCTGCCTGCCTATGGATTCCTCTCTAGCGGAGAGACAGACCCCTATCAAATCACAAAACTGAGTGTGTAAACGTGCACATGGACAGAGCTGTAAAGGAGAGGCTGTGGTTGATGTGGGCCCCTCGCTGGGGCCACTGAGATCTTCAGACCTTCTGACCAGATCAGAGCCTCTCTGACCTGACTCCTGGAGGGCCGGACGAGGTCACCAGGTACAGGAGGAAGACCAAGAGGGTGTCTCGGCAGAGGAAGCAGCCTATGCAGAGTCCAGAAGGCAGATGGAAGGGAGGCCTCGAGAAGGCCAGGGTGTTGCAGTGTGGTGGGGGGCCAGGAGGTGCTAAGTCTGGAGAGGCAGGGCCAAGCAGAGTGCAGGGGACACCGAAGGTTCTGGTGCTGGTGCTAAGAACAGTGGGTAGGCAGGGCAGCGACCAGTCAGGCCTGAACTTGGGAAAGTTTGTCTGGTGTCCTGTGGGGAAGGGAGGAAAGGCCAGCAAGGTGGGAGCCCTCCTATAGGAGAGCGGGGTGTGCATGGTGCTGGAGAGAAACAAGTGGGTCGGGAGGGATTTGTGAGTGAAGTGCCCATAATATGGGGGCCAGAGTGGCAGTGGCAGGTGCACAGAATGTGGGACTGATGTTCAGAGGAAGAAGTCCCCTTTTGGAGGGTCATGAAAGGTTCTGCAGAAGAGGGAACCTTTGGATTTGAACTTATGGGGTCCAAGGAAAGGGCGTTTCCAGTGGCAGAAAGAGCATGGACAAAGGCCTGCATGCGGCTCATGTAGAGTTCCCCAGAGCAGAGGACATTTGTGGGGGGAGGGCGATGGTGGAGGTCCTCCAATGGCCAGCTGAGGAGACTGCACTTTCATCACAGAGAACCCTAGTTCTAGAGCGGATTTCCTGCCCACCTGGGAGATGGTAGCATACTACCTGCTGCCCTGTGACTCCAGGCCGTGAGCTCCAGTGAGAGCAGCTCAAGGCTGGACTGCCTGGATTCAAATCCTATCTCTGCCCCTTGGGGGCTGTGTGACCTCAAACCAATTTCTGAACCTCTCTGAGCCTCCATGTCCATGACCATGAGTGGGGTCAACAGTCCTCAGCATGTAGTTGTGACCCTTCCTGGGAAGGTACTGGAAGCACAGTGCCTGCCTCCTGAGAGTGAGGAATTCCAGGAGTTCCAGTGATTGTCATTAATCAAAGGCAAATGGAACCAATTCCTACTTTCCTTCATTTGTAGTTCCCTATTAAATCAGGCAAACCCAAACAAGTGGAAATGCTCGATGCTGGTTATTCTGTGAAACCAGCTCATGCCTAGTGAGGGGCTGGATCAACCCATACCACCGTTCTGGACAAAATACAATAGTCTGTGTCAAGAATCGTGAAAACATTCATAATCAAACCTGGTCCTCTCGCTTAAAAGGAAATAACCCATAAAAAGAAAACGAATGGATAGCACTGGATTTCGTAGCACATAAGGGGCCACTGATAATAGATGTCCACTATATTGTCCTATGAAGAAAATAATGCTGCCATTTACTATGACATAATGTGACAGAACACTGAAACTGGTCAATTGTGAGACATTCAGATTTCAGGAATGTCAAAATATGAGAAAATGTAGTCTTCGAATCGATGATAAAGGTGCTAGAAATGAGGAGCAGTTGGTAAATGCAATAGTGAGAGCTTTAACTTCTTGGTGAAATTTCTTGGCCATTAAAAAGGCATAAATTTGATGTGCATAACTAGGAGAAAAATAAGATACAAAATTGTCTGCAGCCTCTGATTATAATTAGACACCTTAGGCAGAAGATAGGGCTTGCATGTGGGGATTAACATGAATTTATGTCTTTTTGCTCATGTTTTCACAATGCTGAAGGAAATAGATCTGGGGTAAAGGTCTGCCGGTGGTTGAATGACAGCAGGTAAAGCTGGGGATGGGGACTGTGCAGGGGGCTCTGAATGAAGCCAGGGAACTGGTGGGCTGGGTGAGGGGAAGGGGGATGGCTTAGAACCGCAGAAGCACAGAGTAGGACTGCAGAACCAAGGACCCACTGGGGGTGAAGGGTGAGGACAATTGCTGGGGGGATGGGAGGGGGAGGGACTCCCAGGAGGAGGGGCACAGGAGCCTTTTTGTCATGACACAGAGGCCAGGACAAGGGGATGGCAGCAGCAGCACTGTCACCAGCCAGGGAATATTGGGCTTGTAGCAATTGAGCCTCTATTGATGCAAAGAGCAAGTTCCTTTTAGTAATTTATGCCTGTGGAGTGAATTTGTGTTTTTAAAAAATTGTTTTAATAGAATTGCTTTTAGGAGCTTTTTAATTGTCCAGCTGCCCTGGTGTTTAAGGGGAAAATGATGGTGTTGTAAGGAGAAACTGGCAGGGTTTTTTCAGACCCATCTTACTGGTAGCCAGCTCTGAGAAGGGGGCCTGTGGGGGGCCCCTTCCCACCTCCCTGCACCTCAGATTTTCTCTTCTGTGAAATGGGAACGGTGATACTCCCTCTAGAGTTGTGGGGATCAAAGAAGCTCCTGAATGGATACTGTTCACTGAGCCAGGGCCCGGCTGCAGGAAAGAGCTTGTTCACCCGGTGATGAGGATGAGCTGGGTTCTTAGCCGTCAGCTGACCTCGTCCTCCTCTCAGATGATTGCATGACACCAGCCACATCTGGGGAACCGGGAGCCAATATGCTGAGAAATCGCTGTAGCCCTTTGCTCCTTTCTTGTGAAGCATCTGGAGCTTTCAGTTTTATTTACAGTGCTGGTACTCAACTTTGGCTGCACATGGGAGATCCCAACATGCAGGCCAACCCCAGACCGACCGAATTGGTCCCCTCCCATGCCCCCAGCAACCGTCCTCACCCTTCACCCCCAGTGCGTCCTTGGTTCTGCAGTCCTGCTCTGTGCTTCTGCGGTTCTAAGCCATCCTCCTTCCCCCCACCCAGCCACCAGTACCCTGGCTTCATTCAGAGCCGCCTGCACAGTCCCCATCCCCAGCTTTACCGGCTGTCATCACAATCTTGGGGCCTGGGACCCAGGCACTGGGTTTTTTAAAAAGGTGGTTTCAAAGCGCAGGGAGGCCTGAGAGCCACTGGTTAGACTATGGCTGGGTAGGGCCTCTCTCCATGGGCTGCATCACAGTGAGGCAGGGTAGAGGGGTGTCCTGAATTCTGTTTGTCCCATCTTTTCCACAGCCAAAGCTTTTTAAGATGTTGGGGCCACAAGTTGCCTGGATGACTCAGTCACACTAGTGATAGGTCTTCATTTCTGGCCAAATAACTGTTTTTTTTTTTCTTGTTATATTTTTGTTTTCTTTATGCTTTCATAATGAAATAACATGACTGTGCTTCCCAGTTAACATGGCTGATGTCACATGCTTTGAACCAGGACTGTCTCCTCTCTGGCAGTCATTCCTCTACCCCAGGCAAATCGACCAGCCACAGCCTCCCCATGCCTGTGTCTTTCTAACTCAATCCATTGGTGACTCCTGCAATCCATTAATGGGGTGCTGTCAGTCGTTTAAGCAATGAAATGGAATAAAATGGAAAACATGAATGCTCACACTTACAAACTTTAGTCTTGGTTGTAGAAC